TTAGCGGTAATGAATACCAAGAAGCACCTAGTGATTTTTCTGTTAAGTTTGTCAATAAACCTAGTAATATCACTGATAACAAAGTGGAACGTCTTGGCACAGGTGGTGATTTGGAAAGTAAACACAGTTTGGTAACATAAACGTTTCTGTGGCGCATAATAAGGGCTAGTGATATATATGCAAAACAGGAAATCTGGTATAGGGGTAATCAAATCTTAGGTATGGTCAAGAAACATATGAACACAATGAGGTATAAGGAAGTATTGGTGTGTTTTGATAACCTTCTGATGGTTCAAGGTGTTAAATTCTGCGTGTAGTTTTCTATCTTCAGGGCCTCAGTAACCATGTCTTTTTTTCAGGAGGTCTAGTAATTTATTCGACGAGAGGGAATATCTGCATTGCCAGGACCTTCCATGAGTTCATATTTATTTCGAAGTTGTTCCTGATTAATGTTAGTAGTCATCTTCATAGTGCATTTATCGAGTGTATTTGGAAAGCTGTATTTGACTAAAGTACAGCAAAGCCAAGCTTGTAATCCATTGAAAGGGTAAATCACCTGCTGTAAGGCATCTCATGAAATCTCCGAACTGGTGAATTACAGCAAGCGCCTACCCAATATGTGTCTAACGTTTTCTAGAATCAAGGACTCACAGTGAGTTGTGGACAAACGCCTTTTAAATCCCATCGTAAAAGAGCCAGTTGTGAACACCTTTTGTGGCTGTCATCTACTGAATTGCTACCATGTCCTCAGTGATATTAGGTAGCTTTAACTCCTGTCTTCACCGTCACTTTAAACTCCGAACTGAACTTTCCAATGTCAATCACCGTATATGTTGACTGGGCTGTATAAAGTTGCGCGATACTGTACTCTGTGGTACTGAAGGAGTTTCGAACGCACTTTATGCTCACAATGTCGAAGGCCTTTTCAAAGTTTACGAAGTTGAGATAGGGAATTGACTGTCATTCTATGCTGTGTTCGGTGATGATGCGTATCGCTTTCAGTTTGGTCCGCATATGATTTGCGTTTTTTGAATCCAGCTTGTGCCGGGCGGAATTGTACAATCAGAACATCTTTTAGTCTCCCAGTATGACGCGACTTAATATTCTGCTCGTGGCCAATAAAAGCATGATCCCTCACTATGTCTTATATTGCTTAAATCACCATTCTTTTGGAGTTTGAGAATGTAGCTGTTCTTCCAATCAGCAAGTACCCTCCTCTCCTTCAAAATCTCCTGTAGTATTAGTTTTCCATCTTTCCTCTTTTGTTTAGGATACTTTAGATTCAATCCAGCTTCCACTTTCGTTATCCATCTTTTAAGTGGTTCATTTATGTTTTCCCATTCCTGTCTCCTTTATTAGTTTCCACATCTTCGTAGAAAGTTGTTCATTCCCTTCCCTCTTCTTTCTTTCGAAAGTGGATGTGAATGCTTTGAGAGTTCCAGCGTTCGCAACGGACTCCAAGTTTTCCCCGACGACTGAATTGGTGTCCTTCGTATTTCTTTCTTTTAGTTCCTGGATGTTGAACTCGAGCTGTGTCCTATCTCCACATTCTTCGAAAGCCTTCAACTTGACCTTGAAAATTCCTTACAACCAGTCTGAGCCAACATCTGTCCCTCTTTTCCATCCTCTTTTGTTCAAAGACCTCGACTCCATTTTCTCCATATTGAGTGCCTACCTTATTTTCAACGTGTTTCATGGAACCCATGATATGTGTGTATGTGCTTGTACCTATACACAATGCCTCCAGTTCCCAAATCACTAAGAGCGGAAAAGTCTGAAAAAGGTGCGCTATTTTCAAGCATTCCACAGACAGCCTCCTGACCTATGATGAGTTCTCTTCCTGTATTTCGTGCTCCCAGTTTATCATTCATCATATTACCCATTATGATTTGGACGTCGCCATTCAGGATGTTATCCATTAATATTCGCAGTTGTTCTTCTCCACTGGTTCTCAGTTGTTTGTAGACGCATATCGTAGAAAATTGTAGCCTACCTTCCTTTCCATTTGAATCTTGTTGTCATTATCTTGGAGGACATTGGTTCCTACTGCATAAGAGCTTTGGCTTCTGTTGGTGACATTATGACAGCCGCTCACTCAGTGTGTTCGTGTTCGATTGACCGGAGTAAATTATTCACTCTCTGGGTAAAAATTCAGAGGGTTCATTTTAATTCCGTATGCACTCACAGATTCTCAGCACTTCAATGCTATGTCTCTTCACTTTATTTGAAATCTGAACAGCCTTGTCAGCCAATCTCTAATACGTGGCGGATATTTCGTGTACCTATGCTTACTTTTGAGACCCGCCTACTGGCTCCCCTAATTATTCTCCAAGCCTGAGTCATCCATCTTCCCTGATTCCAGTGGAGAGTTAGGTGGTTTTTTCTATGCTTTAAAATTACAGAAAATATGGGGCTGTGTTCTACAGGGTTTGATCGCTAGCATTATGCCCAACCTTCTGTCTTATTCTGTGCCCAGCGAAGCAGGCGAGATCCTTTATGCCTTATGGAGAGAAGTCTCGCTGTAAACCATCTTCCTGGTACTACTGAGCCCGATTCACCTTTCTAAAAGTAGGTGTTTGCATGTCACACACATTCATGAGACAAATGATAAAAAGTGAAATGTATGCAGGAAATTTGATAACCACATTTTTCAAATGAATAGCTGCAAAACGGAATTCATATTGATATATAATATATATAATACATATCTAGTTTTAAGAAGGTGAATGTCGTCAGTGTTCCATGTTCTGACGCAAGTTTTACACTTAGTTTATCCTTCAATACTAAACTTCCTAATCTATGAAGCAGCGAATTCATGTTTTTTAAATTTCACCGTATATGGCCACAAAAGTTACTTACGTCTATTTTCGGTTTATTTTCGAGTTAGTACTTACTAAAAAACTTTCCTTTACTTTAAAAACCAACTACAGGTAAAAGGAGACGTTTATTCAGCGAATACGTGGTCATTGAAGTTCTGTGTCAAAGTATGTTTGCAGCTATAAGAAGGACTTTTGTTGCCATACTTTGTTTATCGCTTTCCAGTCGACCACTTGTGATTGCTTAAGTTTTGGTGGCCGGAAAATATCAAATTATACGTTCACTGTAAAATAGTAAAAATAATGAATTCACGGAAAATCATGGCTGTTACGTGAGATTGAATAAGGACACTACCTGGTACCGCACGCAATACGGACGACACTTCTTCCCTCTCCAGTCTTTCGCTTTCCACATCTGCCAACCAACTCTGCCTCTTACCTGATCAGTGCATCCACATTAAGATCCTTTGCTCCAATCTACTTTTCTCTCCGCAAGTCCCCTCCGGCCTTTGGCATCTCTTAAACATAGTGAGCAGCTGTATACCCAAGAAAAGGACTACTTCATCCCTACAATTCTGTACGTCTATATTTGAGAATTTTGGGACTATTATAACTTTTCAAATAACTGCATTTTATGTGTATATTAATTTATGTGGACTGAATACCCTTCTACATATATATATACTTCTTTGTATTTGTTTTGCCCATTTTATTTCGCGTATAAACGAACTTAGCCATTTAGTCCACTACAAAGTGAAAGATAAGCTAACTAGCTGTACTCCTGTGCAGAAGGCTATGTAGGGAGAACAAGAAGACAGCCGAACAGACTAATTTCTGAATGCCTTCCCTCATGTTTTGAACAACACTAAGCAAGATCAGTAAGAAGTTGGATTTTGTCTCATCTGATTGATAGTGGTCACTAAGTGGATGTAATGGGCGCATTGAAGTTTCTTTTCTCGAATCCCATCCAACTTTTCCAACGAAAATTGACCTTGTCCTTTCCACATCACTTAAGAAATAACCAGTTGCAGTCAAGAGAAATGTGCTCTGCTTCGCCTCTCCCTTAGGCTAGTTAAATTCAGTAAACTAATCGAAAATTCCCACCTTTTATCATACTCTTTTTAGCTCTGACTTTTTTATTGCGCTATTTTCAATTTTTTGAGATTGTGACCTAATTTAATTACTGAAATGTTTACGTTAGATGTTATCTTGAGTAATCTTATCTCCACCTATGTCCACTACTTGTACTTATGTTGCAAATGACATTTTTGTGATTACTATTGCTGAATTTGATGTTATTGCTAACATGTGGTTATACCTTAAGCTTCACGGTACTCTGTAAACTACAATGCTCTCTAGCCACCTTCTCTACTTTCAGGGTATTTACTTCATAGATCAGGGAGACTATGTCAATAAATATGATATGCATGGCGATTTTGAAGAAATTAACAATTAAGAAGTCAAGGATATTGACTTGTGGTGGCTAAACCTTCTCAAAAGCTAAGTGAGTTTATTCTGACGGTTATGGAGGATGATATCACGCGCCTGCTGACTACTTCAACTGTTTACTATCCGACCTGATATGCAAATGCGTTGGTTTGTTTATTCTTCTACAAATCATTCTACAAGATGCACGTATTCCAGTTGATCACTTTAGAGATTTGGAGATTAGCCACAACTAACTCAAATGAGAATTAACAGAAATATCTTCCACATCCCGATAGTTTGTACGTCGAAAACAATTTTGTGCAAATATGATATTCAAGTATAGGGAGATGATTACTGAAACAGCTTCTAAGTATTTCTGATGATTTCTAGCGTTGAAGAAATCCCCTAAATGATTTGAATATTTCAGAATGGCTCGACAAATAGAGTGTGTTTCCTACATTCATTGACACAACGACTAGATGTGATGACTGATGCGTGTATTTGTTTGTGACAGCTGTGAAATATATCTGACGACTTCAAATCGTATGAAACTGAAGCCTCTATAGTTGAAGATTACTGGTGGTTGCAGAGTACTTTTCAGGGTTCTTTCACAAGAAAACCAAACACTGTGGAAACATTGTATTAATTTTACAATGAAAACGACGTTATTTAACTCTTACTGATTTTGTTGCAGTTCTGTTTAAAATGTAGCGATTATGGTCAGTACTTTCATTGAATCCATGAAATCATCAGAGTCTAAACAGTAGGTCTGATTCCACTGTACGCGTAGACCCATAGAATCGTTAGAAATAAACTCCAACAGTAACCATAAATATTTCTGGCTGGACGGACAACATTGTTTTCTGGATAGAAATATTTGCCTTGTCCAAACACCCACTTCACCTCTTTTACAAGCAGCTGTAAACAATGACGATGAAGAGAATGGAAAATCACAATGAATTTGTAATATTTTGAACACTATGTTCAATTTCTGCTAATAGATAGATAGATAGATGGATAGCAATGTTTTGTTGGACTGACATCTTTGCCAGTTTTATTACCAGCTTAGTGAGTTAATCAAGTGCGTCAGCCGGGAATCGAACCCTGAAACACATGCGTGGTTGGTGAGCATTCCACCGCTGTGCCAGATAATGGTAAAACAAACTACTGAACAGTATTCGAATTTGACTTACATAACATGTGCTTGGAAATCCAATAATCCCAGCGATAAGTAAAGCAACCTAATGCAGACAGAAAACACAAATAGCAGGAAAATTCTTCAGTTTTGTGAACAAATAATTCCTGTCCGAATTCAGTATCTTTAATCTGAGTAAGAAGTTAAATTATCACTTATAGTTCAGTCCTCAAGACACTATCAGTTATTCAGAATTTTCAAGTGTTGGTTTGTAGGGATTTGATTGGTTACAGGAATCCTGGTGGGTGCGTACTGATGAAGAGTCCCAAACTAGGACAAAACAGCTGTCCAGTACTCCCAGGTTTTCCAATGGTTCTCTAACTGATGTCAGCTCATGATGAAATCCTATTCAGAATTTGTATTCATTTTGCACCTTAACGTTTATCAGGCACTTGAAAATTGTTAGATTGTAAAATTGTTTTTTACTATGCTTAAGAGAAAAAAAGTACCTTTTAAGGATATATTTCAATGATAAAAACCAAAGGAATGAAAGAATTTTGATGCGTTAATTAAACTGAAAACTGTTGGCAGCATAATGTTTGAATTTCCTGTTAGAAGAATGGATTTTCAGCATGCGATATCGGTAGCCCAAATTTAGCAGGCCGACCATATATATCGGGTGTGCGTCGGCAGGGAATCGAACCCTAGACCATGTGCATGATCGGCGAGAGTCCTAACCACTGTGCCACCGACGCACAATTTCTCAGCGAATACTGCAGTTCATAATGAAATAAACTGAAAAGGTTCATTCACTTCGAAATCGAATTCATCATTCGTGAATTACGAAATTCGAGATGACAATCCACCACAGTTCCCATAGGGAAACAAAAATATCCAGATCAAAATTTGTGATCTAGTTGATTCTTTTAATGAAAATACGGAAGGAGAGGAAAAAGCAACGTATATACTTCCACTCACTTTAGTTTGATTTCTCAGAAAGAAAGCGATTTGACCCACTAATATCGTTACTGCATACACCACATTCACTATCCTGGTTAGTTTACTTTCAGTGAAATCATTCATGATGAATATTGCGAATGACACAATGATTTGCAACATCGTCCAAATGAATGCAAATGCAATGAATGGGACATCGTCAGTGTATTCTTCGGATTCAGCTCCAATTATGTAAGAGGACAGGAGTGTCTGAAATGACAGGGAAGGTAGTAGAAAGTCTATGTTAGGAAAATTAATGTCCTCAAGATGTTCTTAACATTGAGAAATTCAAATACAAGGAGTTACAGGTCATATCTCTTTGATAATTTTCTCATTATCTTCAACTACCTATATGCACTTGCATAAAAGCTTCATTTTGAGAAATAATTCCAGCGTGCTTTATCCACTCCCTGTACACAATCCTCAAGTAAATTAGCAATCTAGAGTGCATCATTTCACGGACTGATGAAACTTGTCTGAAATATGCTCATTCTCTGAATGGACTGGTCTCGCTAACAAATACCTAGCGGTATACTGAAAGCCATTCATAAATGAAAGTGAGTACAAATGGTTCTTCAAGGATGAAGAGCCTTGTCAACTATACATCATTATGGGTAAAATTTGTTTCGATAAAGTTCCACAGTGTTATACAGTAATATTTACTGATGACGTTTCGAGCACAATTTATTGCTCATAATCATATCAAGGTAGCCACACAACTTTCTAACTTCGTTTATATAATTCGATTATTTCCATCGCTTGATTTGATTGATAGTAGTATTTACCATATTTGCGCTTTGAGTGATGAGTCATTCCTATTGCATGTGTTGGGTGTAGACTCGATGAACAAGGACTCAGTAATCAACCTCTTTCTCCACCTACCTATATTACTTCTTAGAATTTTATCCCTCTCCCACAACTGGGTGGAATTATACTCTACCACAGTGCACAAGTTTTACACTAATATCAACTACACAACACTTCTTAAGATGATGATTTTTGGCCTCATTCAGTCACAAGAAATTAATGATAATTTCTATCTGTACAGCCGAGGTCAAGGAGATAAGCTGCTTATGGAAATCTTACAAAAGCAGACAATTCTGTATTCACTCAAACACGAAAGTGTCTTTGTGAAGGGGAGTAAACCCATATTATGAAGACACAATAAGTGGACTATATTAGACTAATGAAGTCATCTCTTGCATATTCCCTGTAGTCTTTACCTTCAAATTTCTCCAGAATTTATTCAGTAAAATTATCTTCAATCGTTACACTTTCCAACCGAGGTTATTGAGATAACCTGTGTGTTCTGTTCACGATGCGATGCAATGCAGCTGACAGATTAGACTACAAAGTTACCGTCAAAAATAAAACACATAATCTCGAGACACGATAGCTAACAGGTGAGAATTTCAACCAGATTTAAACGTCTCTGCTTACCATTACCATCAAATACACAAGATTCCAAGGGAATACTGTTGAAACTGGTTTCACAAATGCCCACACTATCTCGAGGACAAAGTAAATCGCGCTATTCATGTATCAAAGAAGACACACGAAAAGGTGATGTTAAGTAGCTGAATGAACTGGTAGACAGTTTCAAGAAACAAGTGAATATATATTAGCTGAATTGTTATGATAATGGTGGATTGGTGTACTCTGAACTTGGTGGTTTTATTTATAACATCCGTCTGATTGATCAAAAACGTTTATTTATGCATCCATGCATATAATACGACATGTGATTTAATTTGATACCTGTGCTGCAATTCGAACAGTGGTTGCTTCTCACAGTCATTCTCACATTTGAGAAAGTGACTGAGCATCTACACTGTTGGATTCAGTAACTGGCCCCTACCATCTATAAACAGGATTGAACCTTCCATTTTATCTCTCATTGTTGTGTGTGATTCTGAGCCACTGAGTAACAACAATAATGGAAATTATCGGGTTTACTTATTTTTGATGTCTGTCGCTCAACACTGTGGTAATTGAATGTCCCTGGACAATATAAGTGACTGAGAAAAGCTGATTCAATCAATGCACTTATTTTTACTTCCATTCACAGCTAGATGGTAAATTCGATTGTTTTACTTCATATGTATCATCCTAGAACCATTGAAGCTTGCCTTCAAGTGATTTCTTTTGGTTAGATCTAACTCTAATTCTTACCAAATTCGAAATCAGACATAAGCTTCTTGTCTCAAAATACACTTAACCGGTGGCATTTTGAATGATTTCAATTCAATCCACATCTATTTAGAGTTCGTTTAAGTTTCTGAGTGGGTTTTTAAGAATACTGTTATAGCATTATTGCTTCATTCCATTACTTTATTTTTCACTCCTGACTGTCTAATTCACTACTTGAATATCTTCCTTAACATTTATGCTATTCTTCCTCTATTTGATGTAATGCGTTATACCACTGTTTCCTAAATTAAGATGAACCTGTCACAATTTTCACAATAAAACAGTGACAGTCATATTCCCTAAATTTAAACCTTCGGAAAATTATGATGTAGTGCTCAAGTTTTACGCATGAGTGGTCGATGGATAACCGAAATGTAAATAATCCAGTGTGATTCTCAACATTGCTTATCATCAAAATTCCACTTACGTGATCACATATAGAAATATGGAGTGAGTTTTGACCCAATGTGAAATGTTTATTCTATAGAATAATTTTTTTCAAGGAGATTTAACGCAATATGCAACATACTGTTGTGTGATCAAACTTGTCAGACCGAATGCAATCCCCAGTTGAGAAACAACAATTGCGAATACCTAATAAGAGACAATAATAAAACTGAAATAGGTTTTTCGGTGATAATACACGACATATGTGGCATAATAAACATTGAATTGACTAAGGACAGCGTATCAAACTAACATTCTTCTAAGCCAAACTGTTATGCGTTCACGAGTGTGTAAAAAAAACACTCGTCTAAGAATGACCTATGTAACAGCGAGATTCAAATCAAAAGAAAATGAAGTTATACCCTTATAATGCTACGTTCCCACAAACTATGCAGACACAATGGAGAAGTATAACTTCTACAGATAACTTTAATTAGCAATGAACAAGACCCCAGATGCATGGTTACATCGATGAGAATTCCAGTCAAACTCGAGTGAGACAAAATAGGACAAGCAGATGAAGAAGTTTTTGCCGACTACTACGACTTCAGTGATTTGGTCATCCAAAGTAGCATTTCCAAGCACAGAGATATTCAAAAGGCTAAGCTGGTACCACCAGATGGACACACAGGAAACTACGTAGACTTTATCTCCATCTGAAAAAAAGTCGTGGCACAGTCTACTCGATAGGTTTAGCAGATGTAGACTGAGTCCACTCTCTATTGCAAGAAACCTTCAACAACAAGTTGAAGCTTTCAAAGAAGCCGAAGATGAATCATAATTCGAGTTTATCACTAAGAAACTGGATGACGAAACTAGATGAACAGAATTCCACACAGTACCCGACAGTGTAGTGTTTGGAATAAAGAAATTATTGTTAACTGACGTCTTCGCTACTCTGGACTCGAAAATCTTCAGGAATCAGTCTGGATTCAAGAAAAGCAAATTATTTGCGAACCAAAAATAGCGCTACAAAACATCACTCAATAGAACGCAGAATGGAGGTCAAATCTCCACCTTAGCTTCATCGACTCTGAAAAGGCCTTCAACAGCCTTGACCGTGAAGTAATTTGGGAATTGCCTCAGTACCACGGAATACCACAAACTTTAATCAATCTTGTTCAGCAGCCATATGGTGATGTCACGTATCAAGTTATTCACAATGGAAAACTGAGAGAAGCCTGGAGTGAAGACAAGAGTAAGACAGGGCTGCTTACTACCACCAAATAAGTAGTAGGAGATGGAGACTGATTGGACATACCCTGAGTGACATCACACATCATGCTTTAGAGTGGAACCCAAATGGATAGCAACGATTCTGACGCCTGATGGTTGCATAGTGGTGATTGTGTGAGGAGGAAATGACAGCTCATCGCCAAATGTGGAGCCAGCTATAAAAGTCTACAGAGAAGAGTGTGAAATCGCGATGAAATGCTGAAGCCGTATGCTTCACTGGGAACCCAGGGGAAAAATGACTACAACACATGGAAGTGGCAATCACTGGTGACTTACTTTTGATGCAGTGTGGCAGTATATATCTAGTTGGGTAATTCACACGTAGCTATTTCATACTAATTGTTATTTCAATAGACTTTACTTCCCTGAGACTTTATATTTCACTAGATGCATCATCCTTGAACTTCATTCCTAAATAGAGCCTGTCCCGGCTCACTCTATCCCGCTTTAATTTACCTGCTGTTTTATATATACAGTTCCTTATAAAACAAGCTTTTGGTAGAATAACTAATGTCTTTATTTTACTGACGGCCATATACTGTAGCTTAAAACCTATTGAGTTCATTGTCTGACGATGGCATCACTGTTTACCAATGTAATACTGATGATACGTCGATTATTCATGATCAGAAAACAGATGAGAATGAGATGCTTGTGAAATTCAGCGATGTAAATCCACCACCTATTTTCACTTGCCAATAAGAACATGATAGTAAATTATGCTCCCTCGATGTTCAGCTCAGCAGAAGAGCAGATGGCACACTCAAGAGAGACATCTGTAGGACTATATATATTTAACGGGAGAAGGCAAGACGTACTTTTTTATTTTGGAAAAACACACCATATTTATACATTTCTAACCACATTAAAGGTCAGCTAGGTAAGTGGACAGTAAACTGTTCTAATTGGTCGTCGATTTGCCGGAGATTAAACCTTGAAATGAAAAGTTGTCCAACGAGATTTTATCCCGAACACAAAGTAAACCAAATCCAGGTTTGAGGAGTAAACGCTTCTGCCTCTGCAGCCACTGACTTAATATGTTACTTTTGAGTTTAGCTACTTCCAATCGATCTGCGTCCATATACTACTGATAAACCTTGTCCGTGACACAAACTACCTATATATTTCTTCAGTTTTGTAACTAACCTATAGAAAAACAATTTCTTCTGATGCCTCACGGATATGAAAGAAGGGATCTGTACTGATGATGCCATCGAAAATGAATCAGGATACATCCGTAATGCGCTGGTCCAATCGAGTCAGGAGACACATAAGCATTATGCTCAGTAAAGCGAAATCAACAATGGTCAGGAAGAAAAAGTTGTTTCTGAAGCTGCATTTCAGCGGAGACAAGACTAGTGAAGTTTAACATCTACTCTTGTGAAGAGCAATGATAGTGACATACATATACTTCTGTTTATCGATTTCCAACCGATCAGTTATGTTTACTCAAGTAAAAGATAAGCCATCGAGCTGTGCCAGCTTCTCCTGTGGTAAAAGCTTTATAAGGTAACACCTGAACAAGAGCGCAGCTAAGTACCTTACCACTTGATTAGGTAAAAGCCAATCAAAATCCACAAGTGCTGGAGTTACGTAATAACACAGATAATTTAATGAACGAGTCGTTATCAGGATGCATATAGAAATGAAGGAAAATGTGATCCTACTTAAAAGTTCGAAAGAAATACAAGAGTTACATGTTAAAAAACAAACAAAAGTTAAGTCAGTTGAAAACAACCAGACTTTTACCAAAATAGTAGAAGCGGCTGAATAATTTTGTTTTGTATGTATGGCTCCAGTTTCTCTATCTGAATGGCTAGAGCTTCAGCAACGCAGAGGAGATGAAAACGCATAGTCTTTGGCAGGTTTTTCTGCACTTTATAGATTACTTTGAAGGAGGGGTTTGCTGAGATAATGTGTCAAGAACTTATGTGGTGAGAGCTGGCTGCTAGCCAAAGTTGGTAGACAGTAATTGACGTCAATGTTTATGTCGCCAATATTGGTGGTGAGAAAATGAGAACAAAGGCTTTGCCTAGGCGGATACAGTTAACATATAGATGATCTGACACAGCCACAAAGAGATGCAAGGTTAACTTTCTGTGAGAAACAACCAATCGAAATACTGTATTTTCTACTAACAATAATCTACAATAATGTACATTGAAATCTAAAAATATGTCTTGATTTTCCTTAATAAACGATCTGTCGCCTGGCCCTTGTCTTCTGTTGTTACAATTGTCCTTGTGTTATAAAGAAATTTTTACCATTTGCATTACTATTATTAAACTCGTAGTAATTGCTGATATGTTTACAACACTAAACACCTACACTTGATAGGCAAGTTCACCATCATGGGTTAGCAATATATATATATATTTAAGAGCTTGAGAAAGATCTAATCGAAAGCAATAGAGCTAGTTATTGTTTTGCTTTAACTATTCAGATTTTCTATTTCATCTTCAATAAAATCATAAGTATGAATAACAAAACGAACTAGATTTCGTTTGTACTATATAAGTATTAAACCGTTCATTCCATGTATCTTTCCTGTGGACGTTTTTCTTTATCGTCCCGCCATCATCTGAGTAACGATATCGTCACAGGAAATGATACCTTGGGAATTTAACAAGTAAAGTGATGCTAAATTATCTCCTCTAAAAATACACAACCCAATTCATGTCGAAGTGGAATGAACGATGAATGGTAAGACATTCCTGGAGGTGAAATAATCATCACGCAAACAATATTTATCACATTACGTCCGAAATTTACTTCTAAAAATCCACTGTTCGTGGGTCAAGTTACTGGTTCGTATTAATGCTAATGCCAAGACAAATATCAGTCACAGGGGAAATTGGTTGACAGTTATTTTGACATAGGTCATGCCACTAAATAGAAATCGTGGATGATCAAGAATACTCAGAGCACAGCCAGATCTAAAAATAGCAGTGGAAGGCCTAGTATTTAGTTGCAACTTGGCTATTACTAAAGATGCCGTTAAAGAACTGACTCAATTCGTACATTATTACCTTTTGAAGGGTTGAATTTCAAAATTGTATCCAAATTTCGAATTCCACATGGCGTCAAGAGTGAACTAAACTAATACAAAACAGTTATAATTTGCTCTTGACTACACATTCAAAATATTCATCAAAAGCATCAATCACATTGCATTAAATGCGTAATTTGCATAAGTTAGTCCACCTCTTCACAAATTACTTGACCAGTATCTTTGGTGTAAAGGAAATACTCTTGCAATCTTTGACATCGTCTGCATCACTCGCCGTGTAATCGCATATCTTTGCTTATCATGTATATAAACCGCTGATATTTTAAGATGCATGAATGTCTACCATTACATTACAGGCTACTTAAATTCCTTCAGTAACAAAGTGGTAGTGAATTACTGTGTTCTACAGAAATGCATGTAACAGGAAAAGTATCAGGCTAATAGTCAATGAATTTATAGACAAACTCGCACGCACACACACACACACGTAAATAACTTACATTCAATATAAAAATGATACGGGAATATCTTATCGCTCTTCTCATAAACGTCAATAGTGGAAAATGATCAGAATATCTTCGCTTTGATATGTCAGTGTTGACTGGGATTTCAAGTACACAGCAACTACTCATTTTTTCTAGTTGAAAAAAGTTGAACAGACTGTCGATGAAAAAAGGTTGAAGATGAAAAATCAAAGTGTTCGTCTGTTAGATTCATCTATATTTACCTGTGAATGTGTACAAATGCGATTCAATATTCTTTGGAATGCACAAACAGTGACAGAGATTTTAAATCAACTTAACTGTTTATCACTTGTTATATCATGAAACTGAGCGGTGTTTCGTTTTTTTGCGCTATTATTGGTTATTCCTACACACGAAGATAATTTGTGAGTAAACAAATGCTGCACTATGGTCAGACCACTTTCTACTCAATCAAATGAACTTTGTTCATTATTCAGTCAAACAACCAAAATGGAACTATTTTTTCAAGTGCCTCTCAACTTTGTGTAAAAAGAAGTAGGCTATGAAGCATGATATTGAGAAACACATAATAAAAATCTCAGTCATGTAAACAAGAGAAGTTATGTGAATCGCGTGCTGTGTGCGTCTTGACAATTCAAATGATAGTCTATGGTGTAGTAAAGAGAATCAGATTGTGACTGCAAGCTTCTACTTAGTGCTAAAATGTGGATTCTTCCATCAGGTGTTGAACACAGGATAACTGAGTCAGTGTTTATTGCTTACTCGTATCATGCTTCGGAATGAATACAATATGTTTGGGTGACATCAGACAAATTCAGTCCTTCTGTAGAGCTATAAATTTGCACAAATCTATATTGTTATCATTTTCGTCATAATTTACATCAACTTTTGATATCTGTTTAGTTGTTCAGCTGCAAAACTTTAGAGGCTTGTAAATGTAAGGACATTTACATATTTAATCTGTTCATCAAACGATGCGTTATGTAGGCGTGTAATGGTCTCATTCATTCTTTTAGTTGTATTCGTTATTACCACTAAGCTGACAATCACCTTCGTCAATACTGAATGCCTAAGTTTGTAAGACAACATACTGCTGACTTCCTGAGGTGACGAGTTGTATGCCATTCATGTCAACCATCAAAATGGGTACACCATTGATAAGCTCGGCCCCAAACGAGCTTCCATGTTGATATCACTTCGATCTGCCCAAAAAGCAGTTCTGGTTGATGTGAGGGATATACAACTACTCACCTCAATAAATAAGTAGTATACAGTTTTGCCCATTCATGCTTGTTTTCTTGATCATTATTTATGGTATCAACAAGATGACAAACTGTGATCTGAATAATTTTGGTTTCTAAAGGAAACTGTAGTGCAATTTCACCTCCTCAAACTGTCTAAAGTGCAAACAGTTTGCGAATTTCGAATTTGATGTCTACGTTTGCTTAATGAATTTGTAAGCACTATACAACTACCAATACTCCATTACTATTACAGTTCTTCTTGTTCTTGCGGCATCCTGCACACAATTTATGGTTAGTACTTAGTGTAGAAATTACTTCTTAATCCAGTTACAAAACAAGCACTTCATGTCACAAACAGGATAGAGCGAGCGACTACTTATTCAGAGGAAAAGTGGATAATTTATTCGAAAGATTTGATATAAGATGCACGTAGTCGGAAGCTGAAGAACATTTAGAACGGTATGAATTGGGGAGTATTCCACAAGAAAATTATTGATATCAATCAGACAAACTTCTTGCCTTCTTCTGTTGGAAGGGGACGTTATTCTATTCTGAGAACTTTATCATATCCTAAGCTTGTCGGAACGCAATCCTTCGTTGACGTGAGAATTCTTTTTAATGAGCATTTTATACCCGAAATTTCGTTGCAATCGAAAGACCAAATGTTTATTCTCTTATCAGAAATGCTCATATATCCATAAGAGTATTCATATTTCCACCGCACACATAAGCCGTTAGATTTGATTTTGATTACCGCCTAGACATACATTTGGAATCAATTAGCAGAATTTCTTCGTCAAGCGTGGGTGGTCACTGGAAGATATGACGATATCCCTGTTGAATTCCAGAGGTTATTTCACAAATCTAATAAGACAATGTTGAGAAAAAAGACTGCTACGCACAAGCACTCAAGTTCAGGAGAGGTGAAAGTGAGGAAAGTAGGTACAAAAGCAGAGAATAAACCTGTTTTCCTAAGAGGACAAATAATTCCAAATGGACTAAAAGTACCTTCTACAAAGTCGAGCACTTCTGTCGGACTCACTGAATATTCCGGCAATCCCTTTACTCAAAATAAGGTCGTAGATTATGATTTGAGCCGATGTCAATATTCGTCGAAGTCTGAATCTGCTAATTCATAACTTCATTTAATGTTTCTGCGAAATTCGGAAAATAAAGTAACCGAAACCGTTTCTAGAAATGGATTCTCGAAAAGTCACTCGGCCTCTGATCATAGAAATACAACCACGAAACTTCCGAGTATTTCTCAAATCCCGTTATTTATTATTATGATTGTTGTTTCCTTTAATTCCTAGAGGAACATAGGGCTTCAGTCGTGCGTCTCCATTACGTTCGGTTCTCTGCTAGAGTCTTCACCTGGCTCCAAGTCTGCCAACGTTTCATCTCCCCTTCACATGACCTCCTCGCCGCTTCCCGTTATCTTAGTTGAAATGTCTTGTAAAAGCCACCACAGAGATGTTAAACAAAAGAGATTTAAATTGTGCTCTGCCTGATTCTAAAGAAAATCCTGAATCTAATGTTGCCAGTCGTACTTCTTATAAAAACGACCTGAAAAGATTACTAGTATTAGTGTTAATAAAACTTTTGTAGCCAGTGACGTCATCTCGAACTATGTAAAATACTCTACCGGAATGAAAGTACTCGTAATAAACACAGAAAATCTGAAAATATTTCATATGTACAAGAATACCGAGAAGCTGGAGAAGTTGCTGGTGAACCAAAGCAGATATATTTCCCAAGACGTTCTGTAAGATTAGAAATTCTGTGAGGGAAGAGAGCTAAGTGAGGAAAAAGAGAATAACATAGAACCGTAGTATTTCGTGATATTGGTTAGCGTAATACAACCTGTGACATGTGACACGCGTTATAATACAATTATAACATACTTTTGTCTGTCATCAGGAATCAATACTGCATCAATAAATACTAAGAGAGCATCACCGTCACATATAACACGAGGATGATAAGTTATCAGTGGGAGAGGAAGAATTAAAAGAAGGGCTTGCATAAGATTCTCTAGACGTATTCTAAACAACCTTTGACTAAAGGAGTCGAATAATTTGATTTCATAAGTCTCCAAAAACCTGACAGACATAGATCATCAAGAAGACCTGTTGGGAGCTTTTGGAACAACTGGCGGACAAAGCATCCTTTACCTTCTCCCGTTTTTTGAAGGTATAGCAATAAATTAATTGAAAACTGACTTTTGAATCTAAATAGGATTTATTCTTGGACTCCATTGACACCATAACCTCCCAGCTTAGTGACTCTTTAGTTTTCTTTTTGTAGTTTTTCTTTCTGCATCATTTTGTTTCCTCGCTTTCCATCTGACTTTCATTTTCCATCCTCCAAGTTTCACTCACTGTCTCTTGTTATAAATTATATTATCACCCTTTCATATGACTTTTAACATGCAAAATTTTAGTTTTTGTCTTCCGAATTTCTAAGTTCAACTTATTGTGCACTGTTATACGATTGTCACTGACTTATCAAATTGTCTAATAGATATATTGATTTCAATGACGTTAACAACAACTTTTTGGGGAGAAATTTCGTTCACAGCAGATATATATATCACAGTATTTTAAGGTAACTTGATATCCTCATATTTTATTTGACCATGATGTTATTGTAATACTTATTAATGCAGTTCTGACTGCTGTTCGCGGACAAACGTGTGTTGAAATTGTACTATAAACTGTTCATATTAAATGCTGCAGACACTATGCAGCTGAACAAAATCACGAAATAAAGTGGATCCATGTTATTTCCCTCTAATGTTTGTTCCTTCTCTTTTCAAATCTATAAGGAGAATTTTCGTACGAAGAATTATCTGGGTTTATTAGTGAATGGAGAGTGATTACTTGACCGAAAGCAGTGTTACAAGAAAGCAGTGAGAGATTCTAATCTTGGTTTATCTAATTATTTCTTGAAAATAAATTCCAGTATAACATAGCAGTTGTCGTTTCTTCTCAAGAAAGATGAAAATTATTTAGAAGCTTGGTTCAACTAATGCGTATTCCATTGGAGTACTGAACGCTTATCGTCTCATCACATCGCATAATTTTCATTTATAAATAGGCTTATGTTCTTATCAGAAGCCTAATGAAAATGTTTACTAGGACAAGGGAAATGATGTAGGACTGGAATGTGTACAGCCTGATGAAGTATCTTCTAAATCTTTCTTCTTCATTTTACAAAACACTCAGTGACGCAGTAACAATTGACAAATCACAGTTTGAAAGAATTGCTTCGACTCTCACAAACATTCCTCTCCATAGCTTACAGCTTCCCACTACTTGATCAAGTAATTTGTTGCTTATATTTCGATCAGTGCACACTAGTGCGCAAATACTCATGCACACAAACAATCATGAAGCATTAAACAGTCATACTGTTTATTTTTTGAATTCAGTTCACATAATCCAGTCCAGTTAATCACCACTTCAATAGCTTCAGGGTAATTTTGTAAAATCCAACAGTGAGTGAAGTAATTTTGTATCACAAAGTAATGCGATCTTGTCACCTACCACTTGTGGTATTATTCCAGAGAAAACCACGGTACTGGTGTGGTGAGAGCTGTCTACTAGCCAAATTGGTAGACAGTAATTGACGTCAATGTTTACGTTCTCAAGATTTGTCGTGAGAAAATATGAACAAGACTGATTCAAAACCGACCACAGCAGACTTTGCGTAGGCGGATACAGTTAACATATAGATGATCTGACATTCAAGAAACAGTCACAAAGAGATGAAAGATTAACTTTAAGTGAGAAACAACCAATCAGAAGACTGTGTTTGTTTGCTTAATTAAACTAGAATAATGTACATGAAAATATATGAATATGCTTTGATTTCCTTAATAAACGATCTGTTGCCTGGCCCTTGTCTTCTGTTGTTACACTGGAAGCAATTTCAAAATATGTCATCAAAGTTTCACTTAACATATTTCTGTTTCTCATAAAGTAAGCAACCTGACCGACCAACTTATATTGTTACAGTACAATTGACATTTATTATCC